GAAGCACACTTTAAATGGAACTTTTTTTTTTTTTTTTTTTTTGAGACAGAGTCTCACTCTGCTGCCCAGGCTAGAGTGTCATGGCGTCAGCCTAGCTCACAGTAACCTCAAACTCCTGGGCTCAAGCGATCCTCCTGCCTCAACCTCCCAAGTAGCTGGGACTACACGCATGCACCACCATGCCCGGCTAATTTTTTCTATATATATTAGTTGGCCAATAAATTTCTTTCTATTTATAGTAGAGACGGGGTCTTGCTCTTGCTCAGGCTGGTTTTGAACTCCTCACCTTGAGCAATCCACCTGCCTCGGCCTCCCAGAGTGCTAGGATGACAGGCGTGAGCCACCACACCCAGCCAATGAAGCACACTTTAAACGGAACTTTAACTGGCATTAAATGCTGCTGAGTGTTTTGAAATCACGGCTGCAAATTTCATTAGTCAGCACAGACTATGTTACGCTGCAGTAACAAATAAGCCCCCAGATCTTGATGGCTTATTAACACAACAGAGGTTTATTTTTCGCTTGTCTACTGCAGTTGTTAAGGAGCCCTGTCTAAAGGAGTCACACAGTACCCCTAGCTCAGAGGGGCTCCACTATCTTGTGACACACTGCCATCTCGACATTGCTTGGGCCGAAAACAAGAGGGCTGGAGGGTCATGCCAGGGCTTGTCCCTGTACACATGTGAGCTCAAGAAACACTATAATATTTAATACTATAAGTGATTTGTCTTCACCTTCAGCACCTCTTTTGGGATCACTCATCTTGCTGCAACATTACTCCACCTCCAGAAATTTCCTCCACGCTCACCTTTGCAAAGAACCTCCACCGCAGCTGCTACCCGTGACGGGTTCTAGACCACACTGCAAAAGGAACTTTCTGCAATGGTGGCAATGTTCTATCTCTGCACTGTCCAATAGCGTAGTCACCGGCCGCCTGTGGCTATCAAGCATTTGAAATGTAGCTAGCGAGACTGAGAAACTGAATTTTTAATTTTAATGTATTCAAATGCAAATAGCTACTAAAAGCCACCATTGGACCTCACTGTTCTGAACATTTTCTATTTCCCTATTCTTGGCCCCCGCCCCCAGCCCCTGGTGCTTAACTTGTCTCTTTTCTTCTAAGTAGCAACAAGTCAATGCATTCACGTGATGCATTAAGGAGCGTTTTGATAAAGGGCTACAGCACCCCTTAGCCGCTCTACTGGGTTACATACTGTCCCCCCCCAAAAAAAAATGCATGCCCATCCCAGAAACTCAGATTGTGAACTTATTTGGAAACAGGGTCATTTTAGGATGTAATTAGTTAAGATGAAGTCATACTAGAGTGAGCCCTTAATCTAACTTGTATCTTTACAAGATGAGAAGACAGACAGAAACACAGACAGACCACCACGTGACCACAGAGGCAGAGATTGGAGCAACGTGTTTACCAGGCCAGGATTGTTGGCAACACCCAAAGCGAAGAGAAAGGCCTGGAACATACCCTCCCCTAGAGCCTACAGAGAGAGAGTGTCTCCCTGCTGCCATCTTGATTTCGGACTTCTCCCCTCCAAAACTATACGAAAATAAATTTCTGATGTTTTAAGCCACTCGATTGGTGGTAATTTATTTCTCCCCTCCAGAACTATAAGAAAATAAATTTCTGTTGTTTTAAGCCACTCGATTGGTGGCCAGCTCCATTCGGTAAACAGAGCTCTGAGTATTTATCACACACAGTTTGGGCCTTAATCTATGCTTTTTTTTTTAACTATGTCACTCCAGTGCTTTCAAAAACAACAATTTGGTTCAAGTACATACGGGGTTTTTCAAAGGTTCCTAACAGTATTCCAGCTCCACCTGTCCATTCTCTTCTACCTTTATGAAACACTGGACAATATTGTTCTTTTTGCTCTTTTTTCCATGCACTCTTTCCTTCTGGGTTTCTATTCGACTGTCATGAATTCATGTAACATCAAAACGCATCCCTTCCTTTACCATTTTCTGTTCACACAGTCTGGATGAATTAGCATAGACTGACTGTCCACCTGTCTTGTTTTGCAATCCAAATGCTTAATTATAAAGTATTTAAAGGCAAGGGTCCACCTTACCTGCAACACCAGCTACCCTCTTATGCACTCCAACTAAATTTAAAATTTCGCGACATCGCTGTAACTGTGCCTTCCTCTATTACATGGGCCTGAGATACATCCTACTTCTCTAATAAGTTGCTAAGAGAGAATTAGCTAGGGTTAGTGAGAATCTCTCCTTGGGGGCTAGGAGGGGGAACAATCTATAAATGCAAACACTACAAAGCATTGTCTTATTGTTGCAATTACGATTAGATGACATGCCTCTGCATCATCTATGCTCATAATGTCATGTAAAACACACAGAAAAAAGAAAGACAGCTCTCTTCCCCGAGTGAATGATATAATTTGATATATTAAAAGAGAATTCAGCGAGCAAAGGAAGTTTCTTTGTGCTTTCCGAATCTTTAAACCTACACACACTGTGCCCAGGGTATTCAAACAAACACACACACACATACATACACACACACACACACACACAGAGTATTGATTTCCAGAATTTCTCTATGGGATGCCAAAAATAATAAACAAAAAATAAATCAAAAGCAACAGGCTCCTTCCATTATGTATTAAATATCCTCCCCATGAAGTTAGGACAAATAGAGATGTATATAGAGAGCAATAGAAACATAAATCTAGTGGCGCAGTAATCGATTTCTGCCTTGTTCCTTTATTTCTAGTAAATAATGATCTCCAGATCTTTCATGGTGGCACTGTAGTAAAAGTCAGCTCTAGGAACCCTGGAAGTGTTTTATCTTTGATGGAGCCAACAGCGCTACATCCTCTCCAAAATCATTGCCCTCATCCATTTCTTGTTGTGGAGTGGAAACAACACTTAGTAGAATCAGAAGACATTTACAAAGCATATTCGCTTTAAGAGCCTTCTGTACAGCTATGTATACAGTCAATAAAACGTTTTGTATTGCTCTATGTCAAACCAAAAAAATAAATAAATAAAAAATAAAAAATTTCTGCAGAAAATGTGGTCCCTGCCTATTACTGAGTTACTAAAAATAAAATACTGTTGATGTCGAATAGTAGAAAAACAATAACACATCGTAAATATTCAGTAGACTTGATTAGACGCAAGCCTCAGTCCAAGCTGAAAATGACTAGCTAATGAGATTAAAAAAAAAGGGGGGGAAGTGATTTAATTCGCTTAGATATGTGAATTCAGTAAGCAAAGGCCACTACTGCAATTTTACACAGACCTCCATGTTCCCTCCTTTTGCTCATTTCTCAGAAAAAAATTCGTAGGATGATGCATGATCGAGGCAGATCATTAGATTTTAGAGCACATAGGAAGATGTCAATATATTTCTATGATAAACAATTGAGGTTGAATTCTGAATCTGGCAGTTAATTATCTATATGCTTTGAAAACAAATTCTGTAACCTTTCTATCTAATGAGGTGGCATGGCGGTGTAGATACGAAAGGCAATAGATAACTGTCACGCATCTATTTAAAGCATGTGGTTTGTGTATCTTAGCTGAAACCAAGATGCCTTCTGGGGGCTGGGGGAAGGGAGGCCAAGAGGGAAGGAGAGAAAGAAACATGGAACAAAGGTTAAGAGTTGATCCACGGTAAAGTTCAAGAGTGCAAGAATGAGTCCTATAACTTGGGCTTTTTTCTCTTCACTGTTACTATCATCATTAGTTCTTGTTGTTCTTGTTCTTTGGTGGTGACTTCCAAAGGCAGAACTCCAACGAGGGGAGCATGCATGCCTTCGGTGGCCTGGTCACTAAAGCCCACCTTACGTCTTAACAAATGCGATTACTTCGGCGACTCGTTCTAAGCAAGACCCTGCTTAGTTGCAAGACCCTACTGCTTTTGTCTCACACAGGGACGCAGGGAGACTGAATTTCTTGCGCCACCCTGTAGGCGGATGTCAAAAATAAAATAAATGCTGAATGGATCTTAGAGAGAGATCAATTGTGTCAGCCACAGATTTTCTGGGTCAGCAGGTCGGGTGTAATAGAAGTAGCGACAGATGCCAAAGGTGACGGCTCTTGTGTAGTCACCGATCAAGCTGGTCCGAAGCACAGTGCTTAAAAGAAACTGATGCCCTGCAACCCAAAGAGGGGAGAAGAAACTACGTGCTTCATGTGACATCGATGAAGAGCTCGCCACCTCCCCCCAACTGTCCTCCTCCCGTAAAATGACACCTGTCAGCTCCAGTGACTGCCGTATGATCTACTAAATAAAGCCCGTGGCCTCAGTGATATATTAATGCCACTTTACAGTTCTTAGGGATGGGGATTTTTTTTTCTTTTAATGAAATCTTGATTATCTGTGCCACACGTCCCCACTTCAGCCCAGGAGGACAGAGGTGCCACGAGTGACGATTCAATTCGCTTTTTCAAGCCTTCCCAAATGCACGCAAGGTCAACCGAGAACGACGGCATCCTTTTAGGCAACTTTTACATTAAGAAAAAGTGAGCTCTATTGGATTAGCATCGTAGAGGCAAGGACAGTAAAAACTAAAAATGACATGTTAGCTAATCATTACTTTGACGATAATTGTCACGAACAGAATTTTTTTTTTATATATATATATAGATTTTGGATGTAGCCTTTGAAGCAAAAAAAAAAAAAAGACCCAGATGCTGTGTTGGCCTGAGCTAAAAGGATTTCTGAAAATTTAATCTTTAAGAGAAGCTCCCGAGATACAGGCTAAAAGAGTTTATAAAGGTCATAAAAAAATTAACTTATCTTGCTGACTGAAGCATTTTTAATGCACTCTAAGTTACAAAGGAGTCGCATCTGGAGCCTTTAGGCCAATGGTCCACTATATTTTTCTCTCATTAGTAAGGACAGCAAAAATCTGCATTTGGATTTTTACCACCGCAGTCAGCTCTGATTCATTAGTCTCCATGATTGAATATGAGGAGAGCAGGGAGCCAGCGGGGTAGGGATATTTCGTACTTACCTCATTTGCTCACACTGCAATTCAGGAGGAAGCCAGTTTCACCAATGCAACTGGGACCGCCACCATGGGGGCTTACCGTGGTGAAGGAAGAGTCGGACTGACGTCTGTCCAGCCCACCTGGAAGAAAAAAACATACATAACATCAGGTCTTTAAGGCAAGGACTATTACTCAGGTAAAGCAAAATTTACACGTCTCTTGGTATTTAGCACCAGAAACCAAATCAAATGTCATCGGGATGGGGTTGGGCTCTCCTAGGAGTGTTAGATCCAGAAGAGGAGTCTCACCTTGCAAAATATTGGCTCCCTCAACCATAAATTGGGCATGATAAACTGGCCCCACTTATCTCATAGGGAGCCGTAAGGCACATACGAAATAATGCATATGGAAACATTTTAGCGTGACCAAGCTCCATATAAATGTGGGGTAATATCATCATCATAATGCTCCATCATCCCGAGCTAGAAAATAGGCAATTGGCGCAATATTTCTAAGGGTAAAGATCAACCTAGAAAATAATCCTGTACATTTTTATCAAAGGCCTTGCAAAAGGGAAGCATGGCCTCTGGCTTGGCAATTTTATTACCGAAAATTAATTTCAAAGGAGTAAGAAGAGTGGAGAGAATTATTATGTACAAGTGTGCCACCAAAAAGTTGTTTATAAAAATAAAAAGTCTAGAAATAGTTTAAATGCCCAACAAAATGGAATTGGTAAAATAAAGTGTGGCTAAATAAAATACTAGACAGAATTAGGAATGGTTATATAAATTTCATTTTATTGACCAAAAAAAGAGGTGCATTTCACCTCATATTGTTACTAGGTACTGTGAGAAGGTTAAAAAACACTAAAGACAGTCTTATCTCAGTTTCCTTAATAAAGGAAAACGAAAAATTTTTGAAGGAAATTAGAAATGCACAAAAATGTTAATAGCAGTTGTCGCTCGGTAAGGATTATAGAGAATTTCACTTTTTTCTTTACGTTATTATGTACTGCCTAATTTTTATTTTTTACAACTAGCCACAAAAATAGAATTTACTTCCACTTTGGAAAAATAATAGCCTGGGCTCAAAAGCTAATGGCATAAAAATTCAAATGTGATATTAATTAGCGTATGAAAAATATGAAGACCACGGTTATAGCCAAAGATACATATATGAGTATAGTTGTAGCTTAGTTCAAATTAACCCAGTCGACATACAGAGGCAGGTTTTTGTAAAGCCAGGGACTGTATCTTTTCCTTCACCCCTACACCATCAATAATGCCAGGCACATAGCAGATTCTTAATAAATATTTTTTAAATGAATAGATGATAATTTTATAAACAAAATAACTTCTGAAATCTTCTAAGTAAGAAAATCTCTGGACACATGAAAATAATTTTTTCTTTTTTTTTTGGAGACAGAATCTCACTCTGTTGCCCAGGCTAGAGTGAGTGCCATGGCATCAGCCTAGCTCACAGCAACCTCCAACTCCTGGGCTCAAGCGATCCTGCTGCCTCAGCCTCCCGAGTGGCTGGGACTACTGGCATGCGCCACCGTGCCCGGCTAATTTTTTCAATATATATTAGTTGGTCAATTAATTTCTTTCTATTTATAGTAGAGACTGGGTCTCGCTCTTGCTCAGGCTGGTTTCGAACTCCTGACCTCGAGCAATTCGCCCACCTCGGCCTCCCAGAGTGCTAGGATTACAGGCGTGAGCCACCATGCCCAGCCAACATGAAAATAATTTTTAAAAATCTGTCTACATATAGTACATTGAGTATGGGACTGGATGGAATAACAGGAACCAAAGTCAGACTGCCTGAGTTTGAGGCCCAAATACACCACATATTAATATTAGTCAAGGCATTTTACTTCACCTTTTTCCTCTTTTTTTTTTTAAAAGAAAACTAATAATAGTATCGACCTTGACTGTTGACATTAGGAGTCAAAGGAATAATCCGTGCAAAGTGTTTAACACAGTGCCTGGGTCATGGGAGATTCTTAATAAAAGGTGTGATTCATGCTGTTTGTACTGCTGCTGTCCTTGTTGCTGTTTTTGTTGTTCAACGCATCATTGTCAAAAAGTGGGCTTCAGCAGGAGAATTTCTCAGACAATTCGGTGAGTCGGCCAAACTGGATGTCAACATTGTACTCACACACTTTGAGGCCTCTCAAGAAGAGAGAGTGGCTTTAATTACTGCCATTGGGCTCCTTCTTAGGATCGACAGGCAAAGAACCAATGAACACTTGTCAGGCCTATTTTAAAAATGCCTATGAGATTTTTTTTTAACCCAGCGGTACTACTGGTTTAGGCTTTTCCCCTCATGCTGAAGTATTCTTTTTGCCGGAATTTTGATTGAACTGCCTCTCTTAACCCCAATTTTTTTTTTTTTCCAGATTAAGAAACTTCCAATAAGCCAATCTTTAACAGGGAGGTTACAGACGGTGCTTCTCTGAAGTCAACTGGATTCTTCCCGTTTATATTCATAACAAGACCCCCTAATAATTCAGGATATTATATAGCTGGGCAACAGAAAATAATTGTATTAACAGGAAAATCCAGCATCATTTGCTTAGCAACTTTTTTGGTTAGAGATCTCGCTGGGGTTTTTATTCACTTGGGCCAAACCCTGTGACGTCATTAGAGGTTCACAGCACCCTTATTATTTATCACAACTTGCTTCACACAAAACGGTCACTCTCTTCTACCCTTTTTAATCATGATGATGACAGTTGAGAGTTGATACTGTGCACTATCATGTACTGTCAAATGCCTAAAAAATACCTTAATCAGACTTAAAAAGCTCAAGAACCACAACTGTTTACTGCAAGACAGAGGCAAATTTCTGGGGATGACAGCAAGTGGAGAGGTGAAGATAATAATCTCAACGTGCCCTGCCCCAAATGACAGTACCTAATTTAATCAAACGTATGCTTCATTTTGTATGAAACTGTGTCTCTATTATGGCAGCGATAACCTGGATCAAATAATTTAGGCAGAGATCTTAACTAGAATTAAGAACCAGATTATGCTACCTATTTTGTTGGTTTAATAAATTTACAAAGTCAGAAATTTGGTGAATGTCATATAGCTTATTTCCTTAATAGGCTAAGGAATCTTAAGAGAAAGCAACGTCTCTTGTGTGTTTGTTTAGTACTAGAGTCTATAAAGGTCCCATCTCCTGGCCTTCTTTCTTTGATTTCTAAGAGCAGGGAAGAGATTTTCAACATGGAGTCTTCATGCCTTCTACAGTCACTATTTCTAGGATTCATATAATTTCTCCCAAACTAGAAGTAACACTCTTTAAAGCTGGTACGTGTCAAATTTTAGAAAACGGGATCTTAATGATCGCTAAGGGGTCACTTCTTGTTTCCCATTAAAATAGATTTATTTCATATTCAGAGGGCAATGTTAATAGACAGCACACATCACATTGCCCGACAGGTCGGATTAACTACCTCAAGGCTCTATATTTCAAAACTTAGGAGTGGGTTATTGCTCCATAACACTATGAAAGCAGATTTTTTGTTTCTGCTCTAAGCATGCCAAGGTGGAGGGCATTTATTTCCGCAGCAGGAGGCCTGGGGCAACACTCGATAGCTCTGGCTTCACATTTATTATGCTAAATGACCGATGCACAGTTAATCACTTGGCCTGGGAGAGGTTGTTGGGGATACGCACTGGTTTTCTCCATACAGGTATTGACGGAGTGGCTTAGAGATCAGCCTGCCTGCTGTTTCAGTCAATTAGAAAACACCTTATCCATGAAGTGGACTGACTGTACTTTCAAAATAAACTCGGGTCGGACTGGATGCTGTTCTATTCCAATACGAATCTTTAAATCATGATCAGCGAGGTCAATGAACTTACCCATTGCCCTACCTGGGGCCATGCTACACTCTGGCTCTCTGTAATGATTTCTAAAAACATCAGTGCAATCATCAGAACGACACTCGTCAAGAACTTTCATGCTGACTTTATAACTACAACAACCATTTAGAAATATTTTATTTCTCCTTTTTCTCCCAGGTCTGAGTCACTCAACTTCACCCAAACTACCGGGGGTGTGAAGTGGAGCACTCGAGACAGGAGGTGTCTTCAAATGGCATTCCGAGCTCAGCAGAAGATACTAAGCAACTGCATTGCATTCTGTTTTAGAAAAGCATCCGTCTTTACAAGGTAATGGAAAAATTAAGTTTTTTTGAGTTTTTACTGTTAACCGTCTGTGACTTTTCTGCTCACCCAATCAAAACCTCTGAATCATCTTTGGTCTTGTAGTCTTGGTCGCAAATCTATTGCTAAGTCTGAGGATTCTACTAGTGTAATGCTCTGTTCCCCAACGTGGGATTAGTCACTTCTCAGTATTCATGGTCTGGGCACCCAAGTCTGTTCCAAGTGCTTGCCCATGCCCTTCCCCAAACTCAGTTTCCCTTTCCTGCCCCCATTTTACATGGTCAGATCCTGCCTACTCAACCTTCCCTAAGTTCTTTTATTTATTTATCCCTCTTCTATATCTATGTATCTTATGACGTTTTCATCTTTTACAAGTTATTTATATCTCATAGATCTTCATTTTTTAAATAAATTCCTTAAAAGCAAAATCTCAATCTGATTTATTTTTACACTCCTCCCCCCCCCCATAGTATCTAGCACAATGACTGACACAGTGTAGCCATTTAACCCTTCGCACTCCCTTGCTTTTTTCTCGATTCTTTTATTCTACTCGGGATTTATTTTTTTTTAATACCCCAGATTTGATAAAGCGCGGCTGTAGGATAAAACACTGGAGTTTCTTTTCATGCAAACGTATTTATTTGGATTTTTTTTTATATTTCAGATTATTGATGCATTCGAAGAGTCATTGCACGCGACAGCCGAGTGCAAAAGGTTAATAAATACATATTGATGTATTCCATTCACAAATGAATGAAGGAATCCTAATTTACTGTCCTTAAATCATCGTAAATTTGTTTTCTCAGGCCCCTACTTTCACCTATTCAGATCCTGACGCATTCCAAATTCTAACAGATGTTTGCAGACAGCTGGGAGAAATTACGCCACAGATATCAAATCATCGGCAGAGCTCTCAGGACCGTATCTTCACCTGGTTATGTGCTTCGGACAGCTGTGCCTTC